GTGTGGGCTGTGCACCTCTTGTCGACCCACTTCCCGACGGCGGCTCCCGACAAGGCTGCGCAGTTTTCCAGCTTGCCGCCGTCGGGCTGGGTGGTGATTTCAGTCTCCCAGTTTTTATAGCGGACGGGGCCACCTGTCATGTCGACCCACTTGCCCTCCGCCGCCATGTCGTTGAGGCCCAGCCAGATCTCTGCCTCGGAGCCAATGCTCTTGCGCATGTAGTCGTAGAGGGCATCGTTCTCCTCCCCGCTCTGGGGGGTGCTGAGCGTGCCGCCCTGCGAGATGCAGTTTTCGCTGGCCTCATGGTACGTCTTGGTCTCCAAAAATGCAAGAAAGCATTTTAGGTGAATTTTGGTGCCTTTCAGGCAAACTGAGAGGTTACCACATGAACAGAAGAAAAAGACAGAAAGGGAATTGGTTTTAAAAATAGCGCCCAGGAAGAGGCAGCAGCAGCAAATGCAGCGGCCAAACTACAAACTTCATTTCTTAGGCTGCACAGTGGCTCTCGGCCTCACGGGAGTCCCAGGGGCCCTCTCCCTCCTACGCAGGGCACGGTTGCGGGGACATGCCCTCCCTGTCTGCAGACTGTCAGGGAAAAATGGACCTCAGGGTGCCCCTGTCACCCTCACGGTCTCTGCCGCTGCTGGAGCAGAGGCACAGCGTGGTCCTCCTGCCCCTTCCCCTGGCCTTGCTCTTCCCCAGCTGCTGCTACGCTTTCTCTGATGAGTTTGTTGGAGGTAAGGTTTGTGATGGGCACTGCCGGCTGTTGGAGTGTTTTGAAAAAAGTCTGCAATTTCAATTCAATCATCTTAATTATGCAAGCATGAGAAAAATGTCCTTTTTAATAGGCTTTGATCAGAAGTGTTGTGCTTGCATAGCTTGAGGTCTTCAGAGGAAATTTCTACTTGCCTCTGATTTTATTGTTAAGAATAGCAATTTTATTTTTTTTTTAAGCTCTAAACCCTGAGAGTGCAGGGTACTGTAGCCAAACAATAACTAATCAGAGCCACGCATTAATATCCAAAGCAATGAATGTGAGCTTGGAACTAAAGCCTTGATTTTGCTTGTGTTCCTTTTCTTTTAAGGAGAAAATTCTCCTTAACTTGCATTTTCATCTCATTTCTGTTTCTTGTTCTGCAAATCCCTCTCCTATAGATGTTGGTGGAGTTTGCACAGAGTAACTGTGGAGCATGGCTGGAAGATGGACATTTTAGGACTGTCTTCTGTATGTGTTCAATGAAGCATGGTGGGACTGACCTCCATGAGGTTCCCTGGGCAATACCATGGTATGTATAAGAGACCATGTCACCATTTCACTGGCGTTCAGACAAAAGAGTAAGCTACATTTGACTGAAGTACAGAATAATCCATTACCCATCTCTCGGATTCATAAAGGAAAATGAACATCTGGCTTAGTGTCACAGAAATATCCACAGCTTTACAAATGGGAAGCTCTAGCACATAAAGAGGGGGACCATACGCTGCACAACTCATGTCATTAACTGCTTGAGGAGCTTCATCTGCCTGGAGGACTTGCAGCGAGCCCACACTTTGCTTTGATTCCTCAGCCTCTCTCCCTGTGATGGACTCCTTGTCGCAGGGTGCTTGGGCATCTTTTGTTAAAGCATGTGGAGCAATTATAGCCACTTTACAAGCAGCTCCTCTCTTGAAGCAAAAGCCATGCCCTCTTTAGTGAGTCCTTTACCTGTCTGGAGTGCTTGCTTTTCCTTCAGTAGAGCAACCTCCTGAGAGATGTTGTCAATCATGGCCTTCAGGTCTTCAATCATTTTGAGGCTCACACCATCTGCTGGAGAAACCAAGGGAGGAGCATAAACATTGGCTGCATCCCCTGGGGAGGCAGCTGAAGCTGTTCCTATCATCAAAACTTCCCGTTTCTCTGCTCTCAGAGAAAGACAAACAAAAAGAAGCTACAAAGTCAATGCCTACCCCCTTGCACATCCATCAGAGTGAGCGTTCACTTGCTAGCCTGGTTCCACCAGCAACCCAGTTTTCCCAGTTTGGGTTTTGGGGCTTTGCACCCCGTGGGGCTTTGTGGGGCAGCGGTCTCCCCTTGGGCTGCTGCTGCAGTGCTGGGGGTTGCATGTACAAGCATCGCAAGGTGCAGGCTCATTTCTGGAACCCCTATGTAGGGCGCTTGCCTGGGGCAGTGCTGCACAGGGGTCAAGCTCCTGAAATGCAGGAGGGCACCATACAATGCTGCCCTTCGTGAGCAGGAGTCCTGCTGCACATGAGCGTTTTGTGGCTTAAAGCTGCTGCTGAATAGGCTTTATTGTTTTTTTTTAAACTCCTCAAAAACATGCTCTCTCTTCACAGCACACCCTCCTGGCTTTCCTTAAACACCCTAACACACGATTTTCTCTGTATGCACTCCTTGCTGTGCCCCCACGTTAGTCTACTGTCATGGGTGCATTGACAGGAAAGCGCTTTGCTCGCCAGGCTGACGCTCAGGAAGGGGCTGGAAGGGCTGCAGTACCTCCACAAGATCTGCCCCTGCAGATCAGCCACCCTATCCCTCAGCCCACCAACCCTCAGGCCATCACACCTGCTTCTGCCTTACCTCCGCCTTCAGCATCCCTGGTGCAGGTACCCAAAAACTGACCAAAGCTGCTCTCCTGCTATGAGAAGATGCCTCCTTGGCTGGGGAGTTGTTTGCAGCCTGCTACTAAAGCCTGCATCTTGATAGGTGTGTTGCCTCTGCAACAGCTCCAATCAACTATTAATCAGTACTTGGATTTCTCCTGCCCAGGAGCAAAAGGACTGTTGTTCCTTGGAGGTGGTGGGAGATTGGACAGCGAGGTGTTTGTATTCATTACACTATCTCTGCTGCTCCTGTTGCTTTACCTCGCCTGGTGTAAGCATCTGGTAGTCCTCATGGCGTGAAAGGAAAGGGGGCAAATCACCCACAAACGCAGTAGGACAGGCTTCCTCGAGGGTCAAGGGGATAGGGAGCCGAAGCACCGAACCAGGTAAGTGGGGAAGCAGCGTGGATGTGGAGGAAACCCACCAGCCCAAAGATTACACGGTGCCATAAATATGAAAAGCCAGATGCATCAGGAGGAGGGCATTAAGTTGCTTTACTCATGGCTCAATTAACTTTAATGGGCTTACTGAGGCACTAGTTATTATTTTGGTGCCTTTGATAAAAATGCTTTGTGGGAAACAGCTAATTAATGCCTTTTTTTTCATGCAAGCCTTTCTTGCAGCAGAACAAATGTCCCTTAGGTTTAAATAACATCCAAGGGCCATGGCAGGACATTGCCAATGAGTCTTGCTGGGGCAGCTCCTTACATTGTTCCAGCTGGGTTTGCTGGTGGGTTCCCATCTAGAGGGTCCCTGTCACCCAAGGTAGACACATCTCCTTCATAACTATCTAAGCACCCTGTCCCTTTTCACCCCCTCATTTCCAAACCTGGGCCACAAGATGTTCCTGCAACAGCGTGTTCACCAGGATGTCACAGGGAGAACCGGGAGTCATTAATTTGCACTTCAGCTACAAAGCGAGTACTGCGGTTACATCAACAAACGTTGAGTTTTCTATTCTATTGCCAGAGGTTTTTGTCTCTGCGCTATTATTTCCTCAAGGCTCATCTCCTTGATCAAGCCCGTGATCAAGGCTATTACAGCTTGGGTTTGCTGCAGCTGAAGCCAGTGTGGGGGCTTCCAATGCTGCCCATGGGAGCTGGAGCAGGTCCTTGTGCGGCTCACCGTGAGCAGCAAACAGGATTAAGCACAGGCAGAGATGAAAAGGAGACTCACAGAAGGATGTGGGTCACAATAGTCTGTTGGTTTGAAAGCCCAGCCAGTAATGTATTTGATGCTGCAAATGGGAGCTCTTGCCCATTTTTCTTTGTTCTAATTATATGCTGAATAACAACCAAATCCCTCTCTACTTCATTCTTTAACTATCCCTCTGTGAAATTTGGATCTATATCTGGGGTGCTTAGCTTTGGCTGGGCAGGCATCATCCAGCTTGTTCCTATCTGAACAGGTTTTTGTTGCCTGGCAGGACGAGCATCGCCCTGGTTTGCAACGTCTGTCATCAAACCACCCTGGCCATTGGTGTTTCTTCTGACACCAGGCATTTCCCTTAATGTCCCAGCTAGAAAAGTCGGGTCCCATATTGCAGTCTGTCCCTGGATCAGAGGAGGGGACTGAACACGCACGGTGGGTTTGTATCAGTGTAAATGTTCACAGGCATTTTCTGGGAAGAGCACCCACCCTCCAGGATTACATGGGAATTTTGGGGCAGCTTCAGGAGTGGCACCCACATCAGCCCCTACCTGCTGATTTAAGTATCCAGACTCCAACGGCTGGCTCCAGCTACCTTAAAAATACACTTGAGAGCTACGCAAAGATGCTCCCTCCTGTGCCCCCAGCACCCAGGCACGGCTGTGACCAAGGGGAGCCCCCCAAGGGCCATCAGGTCCCCAGCCTGGACCCCTGAGCCGGGGGGTGCCATCGTCCCCTGGGCAGTGGTGCCATTGCCCGCCACGGCTCCCACCTCTCCCGGGCACCCTTCTGGGTGAGATTCCTGCGGCCGCCGGAGAAGGGCAAATCCCACCTGCCCCACAAGACATCAGGGTT